CAGCAGTGCAGCAGTGCAGCAGCCCTCAGCCTCTGAGCCCAGCCCTGAGGCCATGGCGCTCCAGGTCCTGTCCTCGGGCCTGGGCTCCGTGAAGAAGGCGGCGTCCGGGCCTCAGAGAAAGACGTCTTTTGGTTGCCGAGTCGCCAGTCGTTGAAGTTCAGTCAATGCGTTTCCTATGAGCCCAGGAACCGAGTTACTCAGCGAGAGACCCCGCTAGAAAAGAACCTCAGAGAGGTCAGCTTGACGAGATGCGCAGAGTCCTGTGAATCCACGCGTTTCCTCATTGCCAGGCCACTTCAAACCAAAATTGGGGCGTGCCTAACAGCCAGTGGGCAGCTCACAGATTCCTGCAAAGCAACATGCATTAAACTGCATATCTCTTCTTGCAAGACATGATATGAGATACACATGATGGTAAAGGCCTGGGAAAAGCGCAGCCAATTTTTGGAATGGATTTGCTGATTGATTGAAGTACCCCAAGGCTCCATGACATCGCTCGCGCATCCTTCGACTTTCAGGAGTGGCGTTCTGAGATGAGACCTTCCCAATCTTTGCCCTCCGTGTTGTGTTTGCTCTTGTCACATTAGACATTCACAATTCCGTGACAGGGACATGAACCATCCCACCCCATCCCTGCCATAGAGAAAGGTTCCTCCAAAAAACGGAATAGGCGGGATGCAGGAGGGGGAGGCGGGATTGAGGTGAGCGGCGGATAGCGGCGGATTCGACCCGATCGATCCAAGAGTGTCAAATTCAACTTCAGTAAGTCAGCTTAGTTGGTGGGGGATGATCAATAGCATTACCTCTATTGGACTAGCTGAGCACTTAATCCGCCAATCCACACACCATCTTACCGAATCCAAGTGACCACCCCAAGGGTCGTGCTTGGAATGTACAAGTGGTTATGTCTGGAGATTGCCAGGCCATGTTAAAGTTACTTGCTGATACCACATACACTGTCGCTATAAGTGCTGGACAGAATTAGATGGCGCCCTTAGCTGCGTGTAGGAGGGCGAGGACGCTCCAGGCATGTGATTGATTTCTGTTTTCATGTCCTGCTCGCGCCATCTCGCGCCCAAATCTCCGTTTTGGGACTCCTTCGCTGTGCCGACGCGACAAAGTCTGGTAATCCTGGCAACATGGTCGAGGGGTTGCTTTGCAGAGGGAGCCCAATGTCGGAGGTTCCTAACGTTGAAACCATAAGCCCCTCCAATTACCGTGGTGAAGTGTTTCCGGGTCATGTGAAGCCATGTTACACTGACACGTCGCGCTAATCCCTCGTGAGCATTGGGGGGAGTGACATCACGCGGGTTGCTATTTCCGGGCAAAAGGGCTCCAACTGAAAACCCAAAAGCTCTGCAGCCTAGTCCTAGATCGGTAACACTATAGCCTCAAACATTGGCTATACAGACCCTGAGCCCCATAGACGGGTCCATTCCCAAGCCCTCGAAAACCTCGCAGCCCAGAGTAGCTTTCAAGGAAATACTTTTGCAGTTCTCTCCCGGAGAAAGAAACTCCATTTCTCCACTATGAAAGTGCTGAACCCTGACCAAACCAACCAAAATCGTTATTCCTAGGCCCCAACTTCTAAACCCCAACCGCCCTAGCCCGGGGCTTTAAAACCCTGAAAACCCTGGAGGTCGGCCCAACCTTCGCAAGCCCGAGCCTTCCACTCCCTGCCAATCACGGTAAAGGTTTGCCTATAAACTGGAGGTTCTACAGTTGTTCCGAATGATTCTCCAATCGACGACCCTAATTCCTAACCCTGCAGACACTAGACCCCGGCACCCGAACCCTCAACCTGAACCCCTAGAGACTCCAAGCCATCGAGCCATAATCCCTGAAGCCTTACCCCAATCTCCATGTACCCCTAAGCCCTGAATCCTAAACTGCGTAGACTTCAATCTGAAGCTTAAACCATAAAGGCTAACCTTGCACGGTGTACCCTGAACCCTAATCCCTGCATCCTGACCGCAGTGACCCCAAAACGCATCCCTAAATCCCAAGCCTAAAGCGTATCCCCTGAACCTAAACCCTGTAGCCTGCAAACCCTAAAGCCAAACAGTGCTGCCGGGAGCCCTTACCCGCCAGTGGCTGTGGGTTTGTTTGCTTGGGCCTATGGCATTTTCGCATGTCGCAAAAGTCGCAAGTGACCCACCTCTGGAGACTCCCCTTGGTTTTGCGTCTGTCCAATCATCGCTCCAGCTTCAGCAAAAGGAAAGGAAGGCTGTCTCCGGCAGGCGCACGTGGGTCAGCCTTGCCTTGCTGCTGGATCTGCGAGGCTCAGATCTGAGCCGCGTCACACACCGAGCCGCGGGCCGCGAATTCCGCAGAGGGATGTTCCCGGCGGGAAAGAATTCTTGAAACAGCGGCATGCGCGCTATTGGGCACCACATCGTGACGTGGTTGTGTCCTGGGCCTGCAGCTCCGACAGAGCATTCTTGCTGCGCAAAGGACTTCCTTATATCGTACAATGCATGTGAATATGTCATCCTTCTTTAGGGGCAAGAGCCGCGATCAGCCAATTTTCTTTATCAGGTCGATGTCATCTTCATGCCAGCAAAGCGTGATGCAAGTCTTTTTAGCCTTGTGAAGTTCTGAGGTACCAGACCATAATCACTGAAATTTGGGCTGGACTGCAGGCGCTCAGTGGATACGCTGAGACTCTTCTGAGTCTTCAGTAAAGCCACAGCTTGCTTTCCCGTCTGCCAGGAAACGAAGTCCAGATGGCGGCGGGTCTTGAAGACCTTGAACCTGGTGGAGTTTTTGGTCAAAAATGGCAGTGAGCGAATCATTGATGAAATTCGCCGCGACCAATACAAGGCAGTCTCTGTAGACTCTTGCAGTTGCTTGCAAAGATCATTGGCAGATGTTGCAGGTGCGCCCACTTATGGACTTTAGCTACTCGGAAGATGGCCCCTTGGACGCATTAAGATTTGCGCCGCAGTTGTCTGCATGTCAGCAACCAGGCAAAGACAAGGGCGCGGCTGTTCGCGAAAAGGCGTGGGACTGTTCAAGGCCACCCTCCGTATGCAAACATCTCGAAAGCCTTCCAGGCCAAGGCTATCTTGGAGCTTGTGAGTGACAACGAGCTACTGCGCTCGGAACGGGACAAGGCTCAGCTAAGTGTTCGGGGCTCTCAGCTGTAGTGAAGTGTTGATCCCGTTCAGGCCCGCACACACAGGGAGAAATTCATGGGCATGCTCTTGTCTCATCTCAATCAGTGCCTTTGACCTTTTCCTTGTGCTATTGCTGCGTCTACGGATTGAGGTCATCTGTGGACAGCAGCAGCTATGGAGGTGGAGGAGGCGGATACAGTGGTGGCAGTAGCAGCTATGGTGGTGGCGGTGGTAGCTATGGTGGCGGTGGCGGCGGCGGCAGCTATGGCGGCAGTGGTAGCTACGGCGGCGGCAGCGGCGGAGGTGGAGGTAGCTACGGCAGTGGCGGAGCAAGCGGGTGCCACTCTCAGAAGCTATACAAGCAGGCCTTGAAGAGTACAGTTTCCTGATGCCAAAACACAAGTCTCTCTTAGGGGCAATTATGGTGGAAGCTCGTGCTGGACCAAGTTTGAGCGATGTGAAGTGTGGCTGCTGCATGCCTCCCCTTTCTAGGTACGACCCGTACGTAGAAAACAAGAAGTTCGATGAAGCGCGTCGCAGACGAGAAGATGAGCGCGATGAGCTGCTTACATGCAAGGTTGCAAGCTGTGTAGTCAGCTTGCATAATAGATGCCAAGGCGTGACCGAAGGTATGACCGGGACGACCGAGACCGCCGGCGCAGCATGGCCACATAATGAGCATCGGAAATGGAAACTAAGTCTCTCAAGCCTTTGCGATCGCTTCTATGTTGTCCTGAGAACCCGAAAGCAGAGGCAGGGATGACCGTGACGACCGTGACTACGACCGTAGAGACCGCGACGACCGGGCTGTGAACTCTGCGAGCCCTTCAGCACCTGCAGTGATTTGCACCCTAGTCACCAAGGACGATAGACGCCGGAGTGATGACAGGGATGAAAGAGACAGTCGAGCGCTCAACTCAAGAAAGGGAATGCTAGTGGGGAAACCGTCTTGGTGAGGTCGTCGCCGGGACTATGACTATGATGATAGGCAGCGCATTGCAGCACTGTTCTTTGAAGCTGCAGGTATCAGGTCGGAGGCGGCACGTAACAGTGTCGGGTAACGGATCAGCCAACTGAATCATGCCGAGACACGCAACAGATCAGTGTCCCGGCACTGAACAGGATCAAGCCAAAACACGCCCCTGCGGCTCGCCATCCTCGCAACTGTCATTATCAGCCCCCGCAGATTTCGACGCAGTGGCCGGGGTGGTGCTTGGATACATGCGGATCTTGACATGTTGGACTTGTAGATATAGATACCATGCTTGCTAGGCGCAATCAGTCCTAGAATGCGGAGCTGTGCAGTCATGTCAGGGCTCCGCTTCCTTGTGACGTGATGTGCTGCAAAGTGCAGCGATGCCCCTTGCACAATGTGCAAGTGCATGTCATGCAGAGGCTGGACCCGACAGGCAATCAATCAATCAATCAATCAATCAATCAATGGTCGGGGTGGTGCTTGGATCATGTATGTCTCGATCCAATTCCCTGATCCGATTCGGGCGTGGCCTGATCCGATTCGTGCCTCGCCAGGCGATCCCTTACGACCCCCATTGATCCGTTACGCCGTTGTTTTCAGAATCCCCCGGATCCAGTTCGCACCACGGCCTAATCCGTTACATTGACATGTGAACCAATTCGTGCGTCTACCCACTGTTCTTTAATGATGTTCATCACATGTGCAAGGCGAGATCGTGACGGACGCATGGACCTTAACTATGCTTTTGGCCAGTTGCAGCCACTTGTTGCTATTGCATTGTCACAGGCCGCAGAGATTATGATGATGATCGTCGTGACTCAAGAAGGGACAGTTGTCAATTCACCTTCCTTCATTTCATGTGCAGTTGTAGACCTTGTCATTGTTATGCAGTTGTCATTTGTGTTTAGCCAACAGGATCGGGATGATCGAGACCGAGAAGAGCGCGACCGCCCAGCAGAGAAGCCAGCGCCGCCGCAGGTCCAATTGCTTTGCCTTTGCCTTGCTTTGCCTTGCAAAAGAGCCCCTACTGCCATGGCTGCCAGACCAACCTACTCGACATGGGCGACCCGACTCCCGCAGCGCCGGTACCTGCAGCCACTGCGCCGGCTGCGCAGGGATGGGGTGCTTCGCTGTTTGAGACGTGCGGGCTGCAATATAGCAGTTACCTTGCGGATGCGGGCATGTGAAGGTGCCTTTGAGGGTGGTGGCGGCTTCGCAGACTTTGCTGGCTCCGGCTCTGGCCCTGTCTCCGATGGCTTCGGAGACTTCGTAGGCCTGCCATTGCCGTTGGCTCTGGCTTTGGCTTTAATTTTGGGCCCAGTGGGATGGCGAGGAACAGCAGCCTCAGCCCCAGCGGCAGCTGCCACAGTGCCTGCAGGGCCGCAGGACAACTTCAAAGCAGAGCCGAAGCTTTGGGCATCCTGACTTTAGCCTGGCAGGACGGAGACCTTTTCGGGAACGCTCCCTTCCAGGTGCTTGCGTCACAGCTGATGTGATGGGGTGCGTTGCTTTGACTGGGACTTCAGGCAGCACCCACAGCCGCCGCACCTGTTGCTTCGCCCAAAGCTCAGTGCCGGAGAGCCGGGCCAACTGAAATTTGCAGCGCCAGGTCTGCGCAAATGCCTGACCTGTTTGCCACAAACACTGGTGGAGACTTCACGGGCTTCCAGGCACCAGTCGTGCGTGATCTGCATGAATGGAACGTGGCCATTTCGCCATCATCTTGAAGCCAGGGAAGCTGCGGCGGCTGTGGCTGCGGAGGACCTGGCGGTGCAAGTGGCGGCTTCCAAGGTGGCTTCTGCTCTGGCCCTGGGCCCTGTGGGAGTGCTGGATGCGGGTGCTCTGCCTGCCCGTCGGCTCCAGCCATGGCTCCCTGCACGGGCAGCATGTGTGGAAGCACCGCGCCAGCAAGTCATGGCCTTGGCAAAATGAAGAACATTCTGAAAACTTGCTTTGGCCATGATCCAAGGCCAACCAGGCAGTCAGGTTGACACTGGAGGGTGCCTGCCTCAAGTTTTTTTTGCACGGCTGCTGTGTCCTGTTCAAATCTTTTGAAGCCTTGTTGCACCTTTCAGGTCCTTCTTGGAGGGCATCTCAAGCAAGCTGCTGGCAGCAAGCTCGGAAGAGAGGGCCTGGTGCGTATGATGGGTGCGTAGGCATGTTGTGCTCAGGACTTGAATCTCAGCTCTGGCACTTCGCAGCCTTCTGGGCCTTCGGCACCAAACAACGGCAAGCCGATGGGAGGCCTGACCTTGCGAAGCTTTTCGGTACTCGAGTGGAATCTGCTTGGTCGCTTGAGGTATGGGAATGGGCAATGCCATCGGCCCGGCCATGGGCAAAAGCCCACCAATGGCCGGTATGGGCATGGGCTGTACAGGTCCCATGGCCGGGTGTGGGGCCTGCGGTGGCTGCAGTGGCTGCAGTGGCTGCGGTGGCTGCGGTGGCTGCGGCTGCGGCGGATGCTGTGGCTGCGGCTGCGCAGGCTGCGGGGGCTGTGGGGCCTGTGGATGCGGGGGCTGCGGATGTGGGGGTTGCGGAGCTTGTGGTGGCTGTGGGCCATGTGGTGCTTGCGGAGGTTGCGGTTGTGGGGGTTGTGGCTGTGGGGGTTGTGGGTGTGGGGGTTGTGGGTGTGGCTGCGGGGCCTGCGGAGGCTGCGGGTGTGCTGGCATGAACCAGATGCAAATGGGCCAAATGGGCCAGTTTGGCCAGATGGGCCAACCTCACATGAGTGACATGGGCCAAGCCCAAATGGGCCAGATGGGCAACATGGGCCAAATGGGCCAAATGGGCCCGAAATGAAGGGTTCCAGGTATGCAAACCCACCTAGAAACTCTAGCTCTAGAGCTGTAATGGTTAGGCAAAGACCCTTCACGTTGGCTTCGGTGTTCAGCACCGAGCTGTGTGGGAGCTGCGTTGGAGCCTCTGCTTCGAAGCAGGCCATCCCTTCAGATTTGCACCTAGCTGGACCTAGCTACCCTATGGTGCCTATGGTGCTAGATGAGTCAGGCTCAGAAAGCCATTGAGCCGTCATTTGCCGCCCGATGCCAAGAACAATAAGCACCCAAAGAGGACGCAAACTCCACCTTGGGTACTCATCTTTGACCTTGGATGCGAGTTTGTAGATGGCCATTGATTCTTCACAACACTATGCATTTTGTGTGCCAACTGATTCGGCTCAGCCTTGCGACTCTTCAACAATTTGTGACAAAGTCGCTGGATACACCCGGACACATGGCACCGCAAAAGACGTTTGCTTGTGGTGAGGATTCTTCATGTCTTGGCATTTGATATCAGCGTTCCTGAAGAAGGTGTTGGCCACGTAGGTATAGAAGTTAAGCGGAGAGCCTGTTGGTACTGTCCGCGCTGGGTGGGATGTCTTGTTGCAAACTCTGCGAAGTCTCGGTTCAAAGAGGCCCCCGCCTGCGTCCTGATGGTGGTAAGGGCGAAGGCAAGAAGAGGTCCACAAAAAGATTGGCGTAATCGGCGCACCTCTTGGTCTGTGGCAGCTGCCACCTGCTACGCCGGCTACGCCGGCTGTCGCTGCTTCGTAGCGGAAATGGCCAGCCGACCCCTTCCACAGTCTCCCAGAATGCGAGGCGTTGCTGATGAAGGCCTCAGGCGGCGTGGAGAAGGCCGTGAAGGCACCCTGGATGGGGATGCCGATGTGGACGCACGGGGCGCAGCCTCCTCGTCTTCGTCTGGATACCGCAGCTGTTTGCGGGCGTTGTCCTTTCTGGGCGTCCACCGCGCATGCGGCTTCCTCACAGCCCGACGGCGGCGGGAGATTGACCGGCAAGCGCAGCAGAGCTCTGAGCTTGCCGAGGCGATGGGAAGCTTTCTTGCTCCTTGTGCTCCTTCTGCCGCTGCTAGCTAGGGCCAGCTGTCAACTTCTTGGCTTCAGGCCACATTGGAGAGCTGCCCGCCGCCCGTGCTCTACAATCAGCCGGAAGCTCAGGTTACATCGCTACCGAAGCCACTCTAGCTCCAGTCATCTCCGATCCAGGCGCTGGGTGCAGCTGGCCTTCCTGGCCCTACTAGCTTTGCTGAGTGACCTGGTGTGCCCACCTCTGACAATGCCCGACATGCAGCAGGCATTCATTTCCTGGCAAGTTCTGAGGTGCTTCAGCGTTGCTGCCACGTCTGGCGCCCAGAGGGCATTCAACTGTTGAACAAGTTGCTTGGCTGTGCCGTCAGGCCAGCGACCTGGACCAAGGTTTTCGGACAGGCGTGGGGCAGAGATGTAGACACATGGTCACACATGTTATCTTGCATGCCTACCTAGCTTCAACTGGCTCAAACGCATTTTTTTGCTTTCTCCCACCGTGCACGAACTGTTCGCTCAATCTTGAGGCCCGCGACAGCCGGGCAGAACACCTTAGAAAGCAGCGGATACTTCAGCATGATTTCGCAGCATGCTTGTGCTGAATGTCAAGGGGCTGGCTTTGAAGAGAAGATGAAGAGGCCAAACGAAAGGAATGACTTGAGACTTAAGGAACTCTGCGCTGGAACACGTGGATGACGATTCCTTGCTGGTAGGGCGCGCTCTGATATTCTGCAAACAAATCCATGAGCAAGCAGCGCTGCAGCTCCCCAACACCGTGGTTCCTTCAACTTCTGACGCTCTTTGGTTGTCCGAGATTTGAGAACCAAAGCAGCAGGCTGCACAAAAAGGCCGGGGATTGAGGCAAGACGGCAAGACTCTGTTACTTTGTGCTCTGCCGGCCCGCTGCCAATTTTAGAGCCCGAGTCGCTGTGAGAGTGCGCTTTTTCATAAGATTAGGCCTTTATCAGAAATTAGTTAGAGCCAGATATTAACATAAGATATGTGGAGGCTTGAGCGTAATCAGGCTGCTCAGCCGTGCTTGGCATATATTCCTCACCATATAACTTACCATTGTTATCGCATTTTTCCCACATTCATTGTGGGTTCTAGTTTTTGATGTGGCGTCGCCCGGCACCCGCAGCGTGCTCTTCCGTCGCACAAACATTTTGGACGCGCCAAGGTTGGCTCAAAAATCGCGCTCTCGCTCGAGACATCCTCGAATTTGTTAATCGATCAAAAATTATACAACATCGCCTTTAAAGTAGGCTTGCTGGGGGGGGGTCAAACCCGCTTGGTCGCGGTGCTGATTTCCAAAAATCGCGCTCCCGCGCGAGACATCCTCAAAAATTTTACATTTTTCGGACTTTATACAACATAACAAAAAATCGCTCCCGCGCGAGACAATTCGATTTTTTTGACGTGTTGATGATATTCGTATCTTTAAAAAAATCGCGCTCCCGCTCGAGACATCCTCAAAACATCGACGTTTTTATATCGATGATCGATCCAAAAAGACATCCTACAATTCACGATTTTGCGTTTTCAAAAATTGCGCTCCCGCGCGAGACAATTAGATTTTTTTGACGTTTTGATCATCTGGGCTTGGGTAAAACACACCTGTCAGAATTCATACAAGAGTGGTCTTATTTGCTGCTTCCCTTGCAAAACGATAACCAACACACAAAAAACGATAACGTTAACAGTTCCAGAAGTATTAGATAATTCCCCCTGTGAAACGATAACCAAGAAAAACAAGGATAAGGTTTAAGATAGGATAGGACGAGTGGCCATGGGGTTTTCACACGAGCCCATCTTCGTGTCTTCAAAAATCGCGCTCTCGCTCGAGACATCCTTGAAATTTTGTCGATTTATCTTCATCTAAATCGGTCAAAATTGCGCTCCCGTGCGGAGCATTCGGAAAATTTTGATCATTTATGAACGATTTTGTCGAGCGTTTCTATACCAATCCTATACCAAATGAACGTTGTTCGAGGTAGCTTTTCGGGTTCAAGAGGGAGGTTCTCGGCGGAGCGTTTTGGTATAGGATTGGTACAGGATTCGTCGGAATCGTCGTTCAAAATTTGATCGTTTAAGGGCCGATTTCTATACCAATTCTTTACCAAACTGCTTCGCTCAACGTCGTCTTCTTTTGGCGAAAGTCGCGCTCCCATGCGGAGCATCCTGAAAATTTTGACGAAAATCGCGCTCCCGTGCGGAGCATCTTGAAAATTTTGAAAATCGCGCTCCCGTGCGGAGCATCCTGAAAATTTTGACGAAAATCGCGCTCCCTTGCAGAGTAATTATCCTGAAAACTTTGAAAAAAATCGCGCTCCCTTGCAGAGTATCCTGAAACTTTGAAAAAAATCGCGCTCGCGTGCGGAGCATCCTGAACATCTTTAAGAAAATCGCGCTCCCGTGCGGAGCATCTTCAAAATTTTGAAGAAAACCGCGCTCCGGTGCGGAGCATCCTCAAAATTTTGAAGAGAATCGCGCTCGCTTGCGGAGCATCCTCAAAATTTCATTGAGTCTTCGTTCAAAATCGCGCTC